TAGACCAAAAGCCTGTTAATCAGCTTTCAATTAAAATCAGCTGTGCTGGAGCAAGGAAACCTCTAAAACCTGCAGGACAGCGGGCCTTGAGGACCGAGTTGCGGAATGCCTGCTCTAGAGGTTTAAGGCTTAGATGCCCTAGCTGGTGCTACTCTAATCCATGTTTTAAAATGAAGGCTTTTTGAGTTATGCCACTGTCTGTCTGGCATAGAATACTGGGTCCTCTCTTCTGAATCTTGGCAGAAAGAGAGACCAAAGGAGAAAGGACCACAATGGCCTCCACAGGAAATCAGGAAAGACTGTAGTCTCAGAGGAACAAATGAGGCGTCTCAGAAAAATAAGACTATATCACAGAAAACAAAATATGATGGTAGTGGTATTGTAATCTTGGGATGTGAATAGTTTTTCTAAAATTAATGAAAATTGTTTTTTAAATAGAAGCGGTTCATTCTATAGAACCACTGCTGACCAAAAAGAGCAATTAACAACACAACAAGCAGTACAAACGTTTAAACTTTTTCAAAGCTTTGTATCCTATTATCAAAGAATGCTTACCTTACTAGTTTCCATGCATGGAAATGTGTGCTAGCTGCAATTCTTTCCTCCCTTTCATGTGGCAGCATACACACTTTAAGTTTATCAGCGGCATCTGAAACACTGGAATGAGAAAGGTACTGTCTTACTCTCATTAATGTGGCCAAATTTGTGATTATATTTTAAATGCAAGTAACTGTTCAGCCTGAAAGCAGCCTAGTCAATTTCTGGACATAAACCTTATTAAGATAATGTGGCATAAACTTAAAAACAGGCCACTCATACTGAAAAAAAACGTTTTATTGTGTTATCATCAACAGTAACACAATCAGGTATTCGCTTAAGGAGGAAATATCTGAATGTTATAGAGCAAGTAAGGTTGCTCTATAACATTTTTATTTACCCCTATTGGTGAAAAGAAACAGAGTAAAAAAGGCAACTCAGACATATCCCAGGATCTGAACATGGTAAACCTTGGTTAGCAGGTTACTTTAATGCAACAGTAAGTCATTTGAGATTGAGAGGAGAAAAACATTCAAACAGATGGTTGCCATAAAGCCTTGAGCAAAGCTCTCCCAGATGTTGAGAGGTAGTTGCAGATCCTGTGACATACAATGCAAGGGAGGTTCTGTTAATGCTGTGTATTAGTGGTCTCTTTATGGGAGCATTAGGTTCTGTGAAGGGGAACACGGGCCCTGGCACGGGAGCTGCTCCCCGGCTTTATGCTTTGATGAACCTACCCTTGGAAAGGCGGGACAACCGTGACCGAAACCTGAAGAGCCCATGCGACGCCTCCCTCTCTTCATGCCCCTCCTGGAAGACATAAATCAGTTTCTCATATCATCATCTAGTCATATTCCATGCATATGCAGCTCTAATCAGTAAATCTGTCAGCCTTCTCACCTTTCAGTGATATATCAGATTCATAATACTCTCCCACATATGCAGTAAATCTGGGACAAAGCCTATGTTTCTTGAAATTCAAAGACAGGACTGCATGAAGAGCAGAACTTCACTTGGTAACAGAAACTGAGACTAAAAGCCAACTTAGCCTTGAATCCATGTCTACTCAATGCTTCAGTACACAGCCACGCCAATAAAGCATCCTCCTCTAACTACAAAAAATACTGAACTACTTGGGAAGTCAGAACAATTTTCCTGGTTCGATGTTCCTGGCTAAGGACAGGCTGAACGTCTCAGCCTGATAAATGGCTATACACTGTCTAATGAACTGTAATTGAATGGTATAATGCAGAAGGTCCTTACAAGCCCAGAGGAGTCGTCCTCATCTGAGTTCTGTGGAAAAGCAATGTATTGACATTGTCTGAAGTTGATCAGGGCTGACCTTGCATGGGGACACAGAGGCCTTTGTAATGGCTACCCTAAGCTTCAAGGGATTAGAGCATGGAAAACCAGATGAAAACCAGATGAAATGGACTTGTATTGGAAAAGAACAGGAATGGATCAATGCTTTGGTCAATAATGGTTCGATTTCTTTATCACAAAATTTCTAAGAAGAGGAAGGCAATTGATCAAACATCTCTAGCTTTATTGGCATTTCTACCAATATTAATTAAGAAAAATGCTTAGCTGACTGGTTGATGAACCAGCCAATACTGTTAAACCAGAACAAATGATAGTTGTAAACACAAGACGGCAACAGACGGAGCAGATCTACCCTTGTCCACATTTCCTCAAACTGCATGACATCTCCAACACAGACAGACGTCAGGAAATCAATCAGCACTTTAACACACTACCCCCCAAAGACAACCTTTGGAGAGCCCAACAACAGCCCGTCAGGCGATTATAAGAAAAGACCTTGATAAATGTGCATTAAGCTCCAGACTGTCATTTTTTTTATTTTCTAAGCTCTCCGTCATCACGATAGTCTGATTTAACTCTCTGCGGACATCCTGGTTTGGCAGAGACGCTGGATGTCGTTATTCTTTATTTGACCCAGACCTCAGAGGTCAAAACCACAAACACAGCAAGCTCTTCACACGGGCACTGTCTTGAAATGCATTTTAAATTCAATGCAATAAATCATTTAAAGCTTTAGCTGAAAATGTAATCATGTAATTGAATTTGGTCATCAATATCTACTATACACATGCACATATGTGGAGTACAGCGGGGAATTTCATGAGAGTATAACAAAAGCTGGGGTGGGAGGAAATCTGTCAGAAGTCAGCTGAAAGCATGACTCATAGCCTCACAGTTAGGCCTTATTATTATTCACAGCCCCCTAAATGATAGGGTTGCTGACGATGAGACGCTGACAGCCTGTTTGGCCTCAAAGGAGCAAGAAGACAGTGCAACTGTATATGGAAGGCAACTGAGGTGTTTGCAGTTGGCTAAGTCTATGGACGAATTTTAAAGAATGAATTCTTCTCCATTATTCCTGCAGCAAAAAACTTGTAAATGGAAATTTGCAGAGAATGCAAACCAGAAACGGAACTTTGCAAACCATCTGAAGAATAAAATAGTTGAGAAAGCTTGGCTGTTTTCTAAGATTTGTTTTTATAAATTTTTTTCAGTCTTTTTTCATATATCCAATTTTTTGTTTTTTTCCTTTTTAAAATTTCTTTTCCAGATTAGGTTTTGCAAATTGCTTTTTTTTATATTGTGTTTTACGGATTACATTTGCTATATTTCAGGATCATTCTTTCCCATTGAGTGATGAGAAAAGAAATACTTCTACTGGTCTGCATGGAGGTTAGCAACAACATTTCTGTCGGTCAGTGAGCGAGCCAGCGTTTGTATTGGCTTGAAGTTAAAAAAAAAATGTGATCTGGAAAACACAACTTAAAAAGAATGAAACTTCTAAAATATCCTGTAAAAATAGAAAAAATGGTTGCTTTAAAAATATATAAAAAAGTACGAAACAATTTAGCTGGTAATTATAACAACAATCACTGAAAAATAAAAACTATGGTAACAATACATATTATGTATGGTACACTTCACCATAAAAAAAGATAAATAACAGAAGTTTAAGTTAGATAGAAGAAGAAAAAAATAAGTGGAAAGGTTGTCTTCGTCTGCTGATTGACGCTTTTTTTGAACACTTATATATTGTTATATCCTCGTTTTATTTTTGTAATAGTCCAATTTGTTTTTACATGTTCACTAAATCTCCATTGTTGGTGTCTGTACTTATACTATAAATTGTTGAGTATGCAAATTACTTGGGCATTGTTTGAATATATACATTGTGCATCCACACGTTTTAATATGTGTAAACCTTGTGAAGATTCAAAACAACCTAAACCTGGGTTACAAGATGATTCTTCAAAGTATGTATGGATTCTGTGATGCACAACACTTACTATTGCAACACTCTTCTAATACATACTGTACTCTGTAAAGATGTTAAATATCAAGTCCTTTTTTTGCTCTTAAAAATGATTAAAAAAAAAAAAACTAGTTAAGTTTTGGTAATGAAATTTTGCTAAAAAGCATAAAGGTTGGTGGTTTTAACATTATTAAATAGCTCAGAGGATTCTGTAAAGCACTGGAAGATATGTCTTCGATATGTCCACTTTGTGAGCCCATTTCTTCCATTATGTCATTCTCGATTGGCAACTAGATGAAGAGAAAATCTGCCTGAAAGGATAACTATTGCAAATAGTCGCCAAGTCTGTCCTGAGATTGTTATTGTTATTTTCTACCATCGAATCCTCATTGTCTGTAATCCATAGCCAATCTGAACCAGCAACATTCATGTGAGACCAGAAGTAATAAGTATAGAATTAAGGTATTGATGTGGTCTTTAGCCAGGGTAATAACTGGCCCCCAGAAGTCAATAATTATCCCAAACAGAATATCTTTATTGCAAAAGTGCATACAGCAGCAAAAATCATCACCTCACCAAAACATCCCCCTGCGGTGTAATTGCCACTGCTTGAAATTATAGTTTTCATTAAAAAGAACTGTTCAAGGTTATTGATTGCTTAAATAAGACCCAATATCTTCTCATTTTCAAAGCCGAATGAAATTGCAGTGAATAGTAATATCACCCAACTATTGTGTGCATCCATCACAGCTCGGCGGCCCCGTCCTGCTGTCCCTCGAGGATTATTAGGGTAAAATAAGTGTATTTAAATGAGTGTAATTTCTGGGAAGCAGAGATCTGTGCAAAAACATCTGCATCCTGGGCTCAGTTGTGCTTCATCACCGTGACCGTGCACAACAACCATAACAAAGGACAGAAATCAGATGCATAGAGTTATCGGCTTCTTACCCTGGCTATGTCCTGTTAGTCAATGAATACAGATTCTAAAATATCTGTGTTATGACTGATGAATTAGCTGATAATAATACACAGAGAGAGATAGAGTCGCTGAGGGAAAGTAAACAGGTTATGCACACATTAGAGGTGAGGTGCTTGCTGGGAACAGGTCTGCATGACCCCCATACAATTAGGAAAATGATGATTACCATAATTGCCAGTTAGGCCATTTTCATCTGACCTGATTCCAGAGCAAAATCGAAAATTGGACATAACAATGAAGTGAAAATGAACTGAATGTGAGACAGAACTACATAAAACTTATTAAAAAGAGTACTCACGTCTTCCCTGGAACCTGCAGTTGAGTTGATCTGTAGACACGTGGCGTCTGAATCATGCATGAAGCCCTTCCCTTTTGCTGAACCGGTAGCGTCCTCTTCCTCTTCCTCCACTATTTGGGCTTCAACCTGGAAAACATAAGATGTACAACACAATCCTTAACTCTAAACATTTTCCAATTTTGACATGTTACAATCACAAATATCGATATATTTTATTGGGGGTGGGTAGTAACACCTTATATTTACCTGCATTTACTTGAGTAACTTTTAGAATAAAATGCTTTTTATGGGTAGTTGTACATTATTATTAACCTGACTCCGCCAGATGGATTTCCTCTGCATATCCATCTGGAAACCTTCCGTTGAAGTAATTTTGGGAAGGGGCGAAAATACTGGTTAGCTGATTGGCCTATGTTGGTGATAGACGGGCCAAATAAACCAATCAGATCAATGAAGCATATGACGTACTAACAGAGCGACGACGAAAACACAACCACAAGCCAGGCTACTCTTGCCGAAACCAGTTGGGAGAAGAGCAAAAACATCTTTTCCTCTGAGAAAAGCCTCCAGAGCAGTGTTTTGCTCTTCTTTCAGTGAAGAAATACTCTGTAATTCCGATAAAACTTGCTCGATAGCCACGCTAACGCTAGTTTCATCGGCTGAAGCCGCCATGTTCTTTAGACTGAACTGTCGCGCTTCTCGTTGCGTCACACCTCAACCCGCCTCAAAGCCAACGCTGATTGGACGTTCGTTTGGTGAACGGCTCCAAATTTTCTTTAACGGAGAGTCTCCAGACTGATTAGCGAGTGAAACCTTGAAAGCTCGCGAGATCAGGATGGTCTCATGAGGCTACATTATTATACTCAGTGCTTTTACTTAAGTAATATAAAATTTATGGTTAGCCTACCCACCACGAATAATTTAATATCAAGTAAATATGCAGAAAAAAATACAGGTATTTACTAGATTTTTTTAACCTTTCCTCAATGCATGACCAACTATAAAGATTGGCTTCTACATGTTAATGTTGAAATATGGTTTAAAAAGAGCAGCTTCTTCCCAAATATATTTTTTGTAATATTATAATTTATTGTTATGTTATTCTTACTTATTTGATTCACATTTTTCCTTCTTTTGCACCTTCTGTTGTTTACTCTGATGTGACAACTGAATTGCTCCTTTGTAATATCAATAAAGTCAATATATATAATAAATCTATCCATCTACATAAAAAGGAATACTGTACAAATGATGTTACAGGGGTTGAAAGACATCTGGATTTGTTTTTAATTTTATTTTATACATGGAAATACCAGAATTTGCAAAAAATTGTCTGACTACATAATTTATAAACATTAAATCAGCTGGTGTGACCCAACAATTACTAAGTACTGGAGTAGAAATTTCACATAGTACTTTATGGATAATTTCTTTGCCAACTACTATTTACGTACCTAAATTTGAGTGAAAACATTTTCAAGTATTTCAACTCTTAGATGAGTAAAATTTTGGGGTGCTTACCGATTTTTTTAATGTAACGGATAAACACAGTGTATTTAAAAAGTCCAATATTTAAAAATTTAAAATGTGTTCATTTGTATTCAGCTCCCAGACTCACATAGAACCATATTTCTATGCAGATTCATTGGGGTTCCTTTCTACTAGCTTTACTCATAGAGACTGAAATTTCTGAACTTTCTTCTTCGCGAAGTAGCTCTGGCTCAGTCAGGCTGGCTGGCTGGAGAAGAATGGCGAACATCAATTTGCAAGTTTTAACTTTAAATTGGATTTAGGTCTAGACTTTGACTTGGCCATTCTAACATATCTAAAATCTGAACTTCAGAGTGTAACTCTGAACCTTTGTTACGTCCAGGTTGTTTGTAGACTCCATTCCTGATTTTAGAATTGTCCTCTATTTACATTAGTGTTGCACCGATACCGATACCAGTATCGGACGGGGCCTCGATACTTCCCTAAAATGGTGGTATCGGTATCGGCGAGTACCAACAAATAGGGCACCAATACCATTTTGAGAGCCATAAGTTTATTCAACTATTGTCACCCACTCCTGGTAGGCAATAAAAAGTTATACTGGATTCCCTTTTTATTAGATTTTTTCCTGCTTCACAAAGGTAGGCAGCAGCTTGACAAAGCCATGATGGCAATTATTTTACATTATTATGGTATCGGTATCGGCTGATACTGCACAGCCAGGTATCGGGTATCGTAGGGTGACCATATTTTCATTCGGGAAAACCAGGACACCTTGGAGCGGGGGGTGGGGGGGGGGATCCGTAATCAGAGGAAAGGTTACTTGGCGCAAACAGTGGTGAAAATTGGAAGTTCAGTTTAATGTAATACAACTCAGTGAATAGTTCCGTCTGAAATGAATGAAAATAGTTGTTTTAATGGTTATTGAGTCAGATATGAGGTGGTTGTATTTGATTTATCTAAAGGTTTTTATCTGTTACTGTGTAAATGAGTTTGGCTGTAATTTAAGGACACATTCTAATAGATCTGCAGAGTGGGAACTATAAATCTGATAGGAGTTTAATTTTTTTATTGTTGTTTTGCACAATATGCTGAACTAAGTATTTTTTGTTGTTGAATATTAGAGATTTTGCAGATATATTTTTATACATACATTGTTTAGATTTACTTAAGTATTTCTAACCCTTTTATAGTATAGAAAATCCCTTTCCCACAATGGGCAAATTTACAGCAGCAGAAAGATTATTGAAAATGGTCACACAAATGAGGACCTTAGAAAAATGTATAAGAATAACATAATAGGGAAGAGTTAAAATATAAACAATAAAATACTGTAAAGTGTTTTAACAATATAAAACTGGAGAATTAATAACCAATATGCAGCTATGGACATTTTTACAGTATTGGATATTTGAAAATAGCAGCAACATCAGAGATGTGCAGAATTACAGCAGCAGGTTATTTAACTGACTAAGGTTTCTATCATTACATTTGATTTTATTTGTTCCTGCTCCCGGTGGTTGGAACCTTTATTCCACTCTGGATTCTTGTGAGTGTAGTCTTTGTTGGCTTTAACTTTTTTTTAAATAAATAAATAAACAAACAGTTTTGAAAACCTCGGTATTCATTCTTTTCCTGCTTTGTGTGTCAACTTTCACGGTTGCTAAGCAACAGAGCATACGTCGGTAAAACCCGCTGAAGGGAGGACCTGTTCGAATTTACAGACAGAACTCTTCCGGCCTCCTTATTTTCAAGGACTTCGAAGGATCCAGTCTAGGTAGACCGCGTCCTTGGAGGATGCGTCCTAGGTTTTCGAACAGAGCCTCTGATTAAGAACAGGGCTGCCCGCACTGACGCGGCTCAGGGATTACGTCACACGGAGCGTCGTGCGCAGTGAAATCAGGACATTTCCTCACTTTCTAAAAAAAACCCGGGACGCCCGGGACAGGACGTGAAATACGGATATGTCCCGGGAAATACGGACGTTTGGTCACCCTAGGGTATCGGCTAAAGAAAAGCATCAAAGCATAATGCTGCCACCACTGTGTATCCCAATGGAAATGATGAATTTAGGGACATAAACAGTATTAGTTTTCTCTTCAGTTTTCTTTATGTTTGCCAAAAAAGTTACATTTGGTCTCATCTGACTCTTTTTCAGCAGTGGCTTCCTTTTTGGCTTCGCTCTAATATAGATGCTACCTTTGTCTTAGCTGAATGACAAATCCCCGCAGCTCATTTAGAGGCATCGAGTATCTCTCAGCTGTTTCCCAGATTAGTGTTCTCCTTACCTGGCCTTTCAGATTATAGTTGACCTTGATGTTTTAGTTCATCCTCCCTCCGTTTTCATGATATGATGGATTGAACAGAGCTCTGGGAGGTGTTCAAAGCCTGGGATTTTGTTCTAGGACCTAGAACCCTGCTTTAACTTTTCCAGAACTTTCTTCCTCACCGGTCTGCAGTGCATTTGTTCTTGAATTGAGGAGGTAAAAGAGACATTTTTGCCAATGAGACAATTTACACTTAAAATAAGAAAACATAATTGCAGTGACTTATTTCAAGTGCATATTCTCTAATTATCTTATTTTAAGAATAAAAATACTCATTCCATTGGCAAACTATCTTATTTACCTACTTAGAATAAGGATAAATACACTTAATTTAAGAAATTTTTACTTATTTCTAGATCGTTTTTGCACTCGCTAATTACAGCCATCAGAAGGACTCATTATACTAATTTGGTGGCTAAAGGCATCTGGTTCTGATTGTTCCAATGGTATCAGAGTAGGTGGGGCTGAAGATTTTTATTGCATCACATTTGGAAAAGCGTGATTAATTTTTCCTTCATTGTAAAAATCATACAGCACGCTTTATTTGTCCAATACATGAAATCTCAGACATAAATAGAAGTTTGTGGTTTAAATGTGACAAACATGTCACAACACACTCCTTTGTTCTGCTGCTCTGCTCTAGTATTGGAATATTTATGTTTATGTAGGCTGTGCTAGCGAACATTTATGAGTGTAACTATAAAATCATACCAGGGAGTCTTGATTTAGTTTGGAGATACAAAAACATACAAACAACAAAAACAAGTCCAGGGAGGTAATGCTTAACAGGGAGAATATAAACAGCTTGTCATAATGATGAATTATCATCTGACTACATGAGCTAAAAAACATAGTTTTACAGTTCATGACACACTGACAGGGTAAATGATTCAACATATGGTTTCTTTCACAGAGCCTGTATGTGTTTGACTTTCTGTGTTTAGGAACCCGATCTAAATCCTATGTCAGATAAACAGACCAAGTTGTTAAAAAACTGAATGGTAAAGAGCTCATTTCATACAGGCTGAATGTGATGTTGTTTCACCTGATCAATCGGCAGGTCCACCGTCAGATCGGGGTCTGCTTCGACCTCCGCCGCTCCTTCCACCTCACTTTGTTTGATTTTTTTGCATGAAATATGCTGCTGGCCTAGGGAAGAAGGAATTAATCACGATTACTTCATCTACCCGCATCTGCCCTCTCATTTTGGTGCTCTCTCTGTCACCGTTTCTCTCCCTTCATCCCTTACTGCCCTGTCCCCCTTCCTTCCCCTCTGCTGCTCAACTTCACAGGAGATCAATACTGCTGTTGAGTCATTTATTTATTTAGAGAAGTCCCACTGGAGGAAGGACCGCAGAGAGCCACAGATATTCTGCTAAAATATAAGCCGTCATTTTGAATCCTCCGTCCTGTCTGGGATCCTTCCACAGACAGCGTGTTCCTGATTTATATGAGATATAGCTCCAACTGATACATTATACAGTTTTTCTCCGGTAAACAAATTCCTTTTCTGGCAGTAGGTGCTAAAACTGATACAGGGTGTAATTTCAATAATGAAACACGCTGCTGAACTGCCTCACATGATTTCATTTTAATAATAAATAACTGTGGATCTTAGAATTCACAGTTATGAGAGTTAAAACATTTACAGAACTATACTTTAAGCTTTCATTTTGCTACAAGTATTTTATATAACTTTTATGCTAAATTTACAAAAACAGTGTGATAAAAGACAAACATATGCCTCTGGTCCTTTTATCAGATGATCTAGTGCAGTGGTGCATTTTTAACTGTTCAGTTGTGTCAAAATTTATAAGGAACTTGCCAAACTTACTCTAGAACGTTTGCTAGTGGAGATAAGGAGAGGAAACTATGGAGGTAGATTGGTCTCAATTTTCACAAATACACTTGTGTGATCCATACATGCACAGGACAAGATCCACAGACGCACAGCACAATTCATGCAAGCACAAAAAAATCCACAAAGGACAAGATCCACTAACCTGACTCCGCCAGATGGATTTGCTCCGCATATCCATCTGGAAACCTTCCGTTGAAGTAATTTTGGGAAGGGGCGAAAATACTGGTTAGCTGATTGGCCTATGTTGGTGATAGACGGGCCAAATAAACCAATCAGATCAACGAAGCATATGACGTACTAACAGAGCGACGACAAAAACACAACCACAAGCCAGGCTAGTCTTGCCGAAACCAGTTGGGAGAAGAGCAAAAACATCTTTTCCTCTGAGAAAAGCCTCCAGAGCAGTGTTTTGCCCTTCTTTCAGTGAAGAAATACTCTGTAATTCCGATAAAACTTGCTCGATAGCCACGCTAACGCTAGTTTCATCGGCTGAAGCCACCATGTTCTTTAGACTGAACTGTCGCGCTTCTCGTTGCGTCACACCTCAACCCGCCTCAAAGCCAATGCTGATTGGACGTTCGTTTGGTGAACGGCTCCAAATTTTCTTTAACAGAGAGTCTCCAGACTGATTAGCGAGTGAAATCTTGAAAGCTTGCGAGATCAGGATGGTCTCACGAGGCTAAAGATCCCCAGACGCACAGCACAATTCACACAAGCATAAAAAAAATCCACATGCACAAAGGAAAAGATTCACATACGCACAAGATCCACACATGCACAGACAAAGATTCACCAAATAATTTCTGGTCCATAAAAAATTATAAATTAAAGTACCAGTAGTCTTTAAACTTCACTGCATTTATGTGTGGATTTTTGAGACTGCACTGGCATGCCTCGATACACAAATGCATTTTTTTAAACAGGCCATGGTTTGCCGCCAATCACAAGAAAATACTCCACGTGGGATACCACCCCCAGATCCCACATCCTACCCCCCGATCTAGCTCCATAGAAAACCTCACCAGAAATTTTTTAAGATGGTAATCCATTAAGCAATTATGTGATAGAAAAATTAGAAAAATTTGATATCATTAGGTTTCAGAGAATTTACATCCTTCTGTTGTATAAAAGGCAGGGTTTGTTTGTTTACTTTGCACTAGTAGCCTTTATTTGAAAGTCTGCAGTTGAGTTTTAGCCACCTGGGGCCCTAGACCTGTAACTTCAGGTTTAACGACCCTGAAAGCAACTAGCAACACTGCACTGTCCCATAATGAGACAAGTCTCCCTCAGTTTGGAATCTGCTACCACACCACTTTAGACCAGCAGATTGAGACATTATGGAGCTATTTATAAAGACATGGAAACATTCATCCCTCTAAATCCTACATCAGATAAGCAGAAATGTCTGATCAAGTACATGTCATATCTGTTTTGTCAGCTAACTTTTAACTTAGTTAGCTCTGGTGTTTCATGGCAGCTTAGACTGCTGTAAAGACGTGCTCTGCATCACATGACTCATTAGGTGACGGATAAAACCCTGTAAAGTTACATAGGCCAGTTTCTGAGATGATCAGCCCACAAAGAGCATCAGTACGCTGCAGATGCTGAATATTGAGCTAAAAAATCAATTAGTATGTCATAAATTAAGCTAATATATGGGTAAAAAAACGTTACACCGTGTTGCTTTCAAAACCACACAATTAATTGAAGGCACTTATCTCTATAATTGGATGGATGGATGGATGGATGGATGGATGGATGGATGGATGGATGGATGGATGGATGGATGGATGGATGGATGGATGGATGGATGGATGGATGGATGGATTTGCATTTTTATTCATATCTTCACATCTTCTGAGCCACCGAGAACCCATCGCCCTTATCTTTAAAGGAAAAGTCCGCTCATATTCAGAATTCAAGCTTCTGAAAGTTACTTTAAATATGAAATTATTACATACTGTTCAATAAATGATCAGTGTTTTTAATTCAGAGTCATTTTATTTGAATGTGCTTTACTGGAGGCATCCATGTTTGTCAAAGAACACTACTGCCACCTACTGGTTTGTGACGTCACGGTGCGGTATCGGCCGTTGATCAAGTCCCAGTGCTGTATCTGGTGTTTGTCACAACGCGCTATTATCCAAGTCATCTTGAAAACATTCTTCTTCCAAATGTTGGCTACATATTACAGGTTTTTTCTCTGGCCAGAAGTACGATGGCAAATCCTCCCTCTTCAAGTTGGCGATCCAACGACCAACCCGTCCGTGGATCATGACTTGGAAAGGTGAAATAATAATTTTAAATTTTTTTCACTTTTACCTAATGTATTCCAACATCCAGCTGCCATGCACGTGGGCATTGTCAGTTTCACTATAGCTCTGGTGAATTTCAATGGTGAAGTCCTCTGGAAATCTTCAATAATTGTTGTTGATTGCAGATGTGTCTAGTAGTTCCCATTGATTTTGCTTTCAAAGCAGGGAGAATGGCGCTAGGCTTACTGCACCGTGATGCACTGCCGGAAGATGGCAGGAGGGAGGGGTTACTATATTTAGGCCAAAATAGCCGCTCCCGGACTCACTGACCACAACTAAAATTATTATTATTATTATTTTTTTTTACTGTTTAACAATAAATTCATTAAATCACCGCGAACGTATTCGTTTTAGGTATAGATAATGATCCATTGATCATTCCTTGCTGACCGGACTTTCCATTTAAAATTTCTTTAATGCAAAGTAAAATATGAGATTTTCTGCTTTTACATTTACTTTTGACCAAGTTAAGGTTTTTTAAGTTTGCCTAATCCCGTTCAGAACAGGTACTTTTCTACCCTTCCAGTAGTTTCAAATGGAGTTTAATCAGAGCTCACAGTCCTCATGCTTCAGCTGCTCCTGCTGGCCTTCAGCTCAAGCCTTGTGTAGCTAAGCTTTATTCTATGTACTTCTTAGAGCGCTTTTATTTTAATATTACAGTGCTTTAATAACGTCCATGTCTGGAAAACTTGAGACAGCAGGATTCTCCTCTCACCGTACTCAAACAACAGGCTGCAGCTCAGCTACTTGGATCATTATCTCTGGCAGACTGAAGCTTATCCAAGAAAATGCTTATACATTTATTTTTCTTTTCTGTTTCTCTTTTAACATTTCTGACTTTTTTTCTTCATCTACAAGCAGCAAATACGGTGTAAACAAATGTCACAACTGAAGGGTCTCTCAGGAGAACTCTGCCAGTTGAAAGTGAGAATTAATGTCAACATTCAAATCTGATTTTAAACAATGCTGCATCAAAAATAATCTGTTACAGTGAGAGACCTGTTATTATTAATATAATAAAATATTCTTTAAATTGAGGATTTTTATCTGAGCTGTTTTTTAATTCACGTTTTAAGTTGATCACTTATTCTTCCTTTATAAAATTACAATTTTATATACATTACAGTTTGGGTGAAACATTTTTGCATTTTTGGCTTTTGTGAATTCCTATATATGGCAATCTTTGTGAGTTTTTTATATAAATCCTTGTCATTTTCTTCTTTTGGTGTCATGGTAACCAATTCAGTCAATTCGCAACACATGTCTCAAGGCACAACATTCAACCAGATCATCCAGTCAAATTAATTCACAGTTTTCTATCTAAGGAAAGCCATTTGATTGCATCAACTCATTGATTCGAAGGCAAACCCTCACACTAAGCATTTATAGGAATAGGAAGCGTTGCTTGTGGCGACAGTGGAGAGGAAAAACTCCCTTTTAACAGAAGGAAACCCCCAGCAGAAACCAAAACTTTCTATATATAAGGTATACTTGTTACACATTAAAATACAAATATTCAGGATAAAGAAAAAAAGCCAAAAAAAGCCATATTTACTTCATATTAATCCCTGCTTACTATTTTCAATGTTTTATAGTAATACTTTTTATATCCAGAGAAAATGAGAGATTTTCATTTTCCTAAGAAGAGCTTTTGGGTCCAATTCCTAATTGTGATTTAAATGCTTTCTTCAGCATTTGAAGTCTAAATCTGTTTAATATTTACCACAAAAAGTCATGTTAATTTCAAGAAGCGATAATGCGTCTTTAGGACAGAGTCATCAAATTTTTTCTCAAATGACAGATTATTTTTTTATAATCCCAATACACTTCCCCTTTCAGTTACACACAGAGAGGAAAGTCTAGTGATGCACAGCTATCTATACACAGGTGTAAAAATGAAACCCGTGATATAAATTTGTAATCAAAAGGGTGCAGGTTTCTCTAAGTGTAATCATACTGAAGAAGATTGTAATGAAGAAACAAACAGAGAGGATGAGGAGGCTGGAGAGGAAAACGTCAGGAGAAACATTGCTAGTGAAATGCTCTGCTCACCTCCTGCTGTGCAGTGTTCTTGGTTTGTGGACACCTGCCTCTGCTGTTCGGCTCGCTCTGTCTTGGCTGCATGTTCCTTCATCTGGCCCCCGACTGTGAGCTCAAGGTCCTCTCTAACGCATGCCTGAGCGCAGAGCGAAGGAAGGGAAAAGGAGAACTCATGAAACCGGGAAAAAAAATACATTTCCTCTGACTTTTCTTTGTGTTTGAAATTTTCCTGACTTCTAGGAGCATCCAAAAGCAAAAGGGAATTTGGGGGCATCCCTCTCAACAAAATTAATTTATGGTCAAAAGGTAAAATGTAAAAGGAAATCCACATAAAGATTCCTACTAAGCACATAAAAGGTCAACTGTAAAATAACTAAGATAGCAGAACTTTAAATTTAAAGGCAAGAACATTTTGGGTTAAGGATTTTAGCTTAACCATTTGGGTTTTTGCTTTACAATTTTCCAAACTTTTCATTCTGCTTTTCTAAATCAGAATCCTGAATTTTTCAAATGTAAATTAAATTAGCAGTGACTTAAAACATTTTATAAACAAAGAATCTCACATTTCAATCAAACTTTTTTATCATTTGGCCTTTATTGGAAATATATAAACTGTAGTTTTAATACTTTTTGTACCATGGGAAGTAATAGTCTGGGTTTCAAACTGGCAACCTTTACATTCTCTCCAAGAAGCTAATGATGAGCTTGCTAAAAAAAACTACCATCCATCCATTGCTGCCAAGCTTATCCCGCTTATCTGCCATGCTTATCCCTACTAGGGTCACAAGGGGTGCTGGTGTCTATCTCCAGCTGTTTATGGGTGAGAGGCGGGGTTCACCCTGGACAGGTCGCCAGTCCATCGCAGGGCAAAAAAGAGACAAACAACCATTCACACACACACTTACACCTACAGTAAGGAGAATTTAGAGAAGCCAATTAACCTAATGAACCCATGCATGCAGAGGGAGAACATGCAAACTTAATACTGAAAGACTCCGGTCCTGGAATCGAACGCAGAACCCTTTTGCTGCAAGGCAGTAGTGCTACCCACTGCACTACTGTGCAGCCCATACTACCATCTGACGTGTAGAAATCTTTACTACTAATAACTAAAGTACGGGATGTAGTAATTTTAAACCTTTGTAGGAAATAAATGAAAAGCTTTATTGTCATCAAAGAATTGTCATTAGAAAATACAAAAAATAATAATTTGGCAGCATCTCTTTATCAACATTTTTATTGTTACAAATGAACATTAAAATAACTCTCTAAGTCTCTAATTTAAAATCTAACTTTCAAAAGTTTTCAGAGTGACATTTCATTAAAGAAAAGTTAGCAGAACTTTCCAGATGCACAGTATTTATATTGTAAAATCCCTTACTTACTTACTTTACTTACAGTAAAATATCTTATTTCTTCATTTTCTTAACTCTGTCACGTATTCTGTTATTTTTATGCAGTTTTTTAAGGTCCACATTTGTGTGACAACTTTTGCTATAATCTTTTGCTAGTATAACACCACAATTTACTATTCTATTCTAACTTTGAACATTTTAAAGTAACCTACAATTTTAAAGATATCTTGGACCACATATCTATAGAAAGATGCTCCTTTGATTAAAGATATTCTAAGAATATATATCTGCATTTTTTTTTTAATCGTTCAAAGGGCTTTCTTTTGTTCCTGAAAATGTAATGGACTTTTACTTGAGGACATTTTTCATGGTGTGCTTTTATTTTTAGTTAAGTAACATTCTATACTGTTAACTAAATTTTTGTTTGCTGGAGTGGATTATTTTTGTACTTTTTCCATCTCTGCTAACCATATTTCCTTTTGTAGCCACAAGCTGAATGATTTGTGTCCTTTTTGATAATAAGTTTTATAGTCTAATCATCACCTACAGAAACATGTCAATATAACCTCAGTAAATCAAATCTACAGGCAGGAAGTCCCTTTTTTTCCACAAAAGAGGCAACGTTTTGTCATATTTCATGGATGGACAGACGGACCGAACAGTATCATCAAGGCTACCATAGCTTATTTGCATTCTTCTTCAACCTCAGACTTTCACGGGCTGACATGTTCTACTGTATTGAATTCCTCTGGTTCCAATGCATCACAAACACTCGACCTATCAATCACCTGGGAGTGTGGCAAACAAATCATTTATTGATGAAATGGGGCAGGCGTGAATTTTCTAACTGCATTTGTCTTATTTATCAAGTCAGATCAAACAGTGGAAATCCAAAGAAGCTTAGAGGAAACGGGAGGGAGTTTCGTGGAATAACTTATTCCTCAGCTGCAGACAGCAGAAGGTTATTGATGGAGGGGGAAGGCAAAACAAAACACAAAAAGGGGGGGTTTGGGACCGAGCTGCACAGTGGGAGAGTGAAGGAGTGAGAGGAGGAGAGGAAAAGGAGGGAGAGTTGAGTCTGATGTTCAGACAACAGGGTACACATCTGAATTAATGCTTCCACAAAAGGCAATTTTCTCCTCGCAGGCTCCTCTTCCCCTCTGTAGGTAGCGAGGTGAGGGATGTCTCCCTTCCAGACACAGAGTGAGCGAACTCTGCGTTTCTCCTCAGCAGCAGCGCTCTGTACTGCGGGGTCCCAGAGCTGGCTCAGGGGTTGGTGTAGTGATCTCAGGCTTCCACCAGAACACACCCTGGCAGCGGTGTTTGCAAGCTCACTGACATGGAGTCTGGGGATTATCTGGGTTGCTTCTTCACTTGTTTGCCTTTCTTTAATGCTGAGGCAACATCTGTTGATATGCTTTTGAATTCCTGCAGCCGTTACTGGGCTGAGAAAGAGGAGTAGAACAACAAAAAGAAGATTGAGGTTTGCTCGGTTTGTTTAGTGAAGAAGAGTTGAAACAGAGTTCATGTCATTGAGCTGCAGTGTCCACAGCCTCCGGAGATCAGAAGCAGAGAGCGGCCCTGCAGTGGTACCCTGTGCAGATTTCTAATCTCAGCTCATCACTGACTAATGTGGAACAACATTGCCATGAAGCTCAGAGTCAAAACACATCTGGCCAATCAAATATGGAACAGCTTGTTTAGCGTTCTGACAGCCTGGTGATGAGATGTAAATAGATCCCATTTAAATCAGCCCTGAATCAGGACTCGTCACTCAGGGAGAGTGCTGGGAAGGGAGCAGAGGAGGTGCTGGGAAAGTATATGCAGAAGTAGAGGCATGGCAGTGGAAAACCTGAGGTCATCCAGTGTCTCCTCTGCGTTACATATCTGCAGCACCATGTCCTTTGGGAGCAGACAAGTGTGTGTGTCAGGAGGCCTCAGACTGTGCTACACCAAGTGCAAACAGGGTCTCTAGGAGGGCCGAGTGAAAAGTAATCTAGGGCCTTCTCAAGTGGCAGAAAACTGGAGTCAACAAGAGGACAGGGTGATATGATAGCCAAGGGATAATGGAGGTCCCAAACAATTGTGCGGACCAGCCTCCAGCCATACTGACTGTGGTATCAGTAGGAGCCACTCCCAGGGCTGATTCACAGTCAGCAGACATGCTGGCAGCAACAAGGAGGCACAGTTTTCCTCAGGGCTTTGCTGCTTCCCTTCAACTCTGAGATCATACATAAGGAGCTGAGACATAGGAAGTGTTGCTGATGAAAGAAAGTCCAGTTCTGGAAACTTAGCTTACCTCCTTCCTTTAACTGCTGTTCTTTAGTAAATTTTGATGATTATTGCAAAACAAATTTTTGTTTTAATAAACCAACAGTTCTAATAAAAAAGGCGGTATTGAAAAAAGATGTCAGAGATTTTCTAACTTTAAAAAGATGCTAACATATTTTTGTTTACTGTTGATTATAGTTATTGACATCAAGATAATCATAAACAGAACAGCAGTAGCTAACTAAGACTAGCAGAGGGATGCCAGCAGCTATGCTGTCTGGGGCTTCATGCCCCTAGTCGAGTCAACCAAGGCAGAGAGGTGCTAGGTGAGGGAACAGACAAGGTGCCCCCTGAAGACCCCATATGATGAGAAGCACCAATGAACACAGTGTTCCCTGACCCGGACATCGGTCATCGTTGGAGGGACAATGTTCCTCAGCTGCCCTGAAAACACCCTGGGATTGTGCCGGGTGAGCTGCCCACATGGATAGGAAGAGGGAAGTCTGGCCCTCCCAACTTAGATTCACTACCCTGTGACCTGACGACGGATAAGCAGAAAAAAGACAGATGGATGAACTAAGACTAACATAAAGAACAGTTCAGGGTGATTTATCACTTTAGAGAACACCAACCCGGATAATCACCATTAGAGAGATTTCTCTGATTTTAAACCATCTCAAATGGCTTTAGGTTGTTGGTGGCATAGATTAAACAAGATGTCAGACCTCTTTTTCAGAGACTGTAGTTTGGATTGACATTTTAACATTGTACAGATTTTTTTTTTTAGGAAGCATACCTAGCCTAAATAATATATTCTATTAACCTAAAGCACTATGCATGGTATGGTTGTCCCATGTCAGGTACGCCGGTCATTGACCTTGATCAAGGCACCTTACAGTAGAACTGCAGTCAGTCCCTGGACTGGTATGGCTATCAACTCTCCTACATAGTTAGGGACAAATGCAGAGAAGAAATTTCCCACTGGGATCAGCTTCATAGTCATGGTAGGCAACTTTTGTGATTATATTTATTTTGCTCAGGCTACGTCGTAAGCCCACATCCCGCCAAATGTTGAAAGGGCAATATTATTACCATTACTGTTAATATATAGTAGAGATTTTACACATTCAATGATAAAACATCACAGGGTATGGTATGATAGCCTCGTGAGACCATCCTGATCTCACGAGCTTTCAAGATTTCACTCGCAGATCAGTCTGGAGACTCTCCGTTGAAGAAAATTTGGAGCCGTTCACCAAACGAACGTCCAATCAGCGTTGGCTTTGAGGCGGGTTGAGGTGTGACGCAACGAGAAGCGCGACGGTTCAGTCTAAAGAACATGGTGGCTTCAGCCGATGAAACTAGCGTTAGCGTGGCTATCGAGCAAGTTTTATCGGAATTACACTGTATTTCTTCACTGAAAGAAGAGCAAAACACTGCTCTGGAGGCTTTTCTCAGAGGCAAAGATGTTTTTGCTCTTCTCCCGACTGGTTTCTATCAATTGGCTCCTCTTCGTCGTCGCTCTGTTACGTCATATGCTTCGTTGATCTGATTGGTTTATTTGGCCCGTCTATCACCAACATAGGCCAATCAACTAACCAGTATTTTCGCCCCTTCCCAAAATTACTTCAACGGAAGGTTTCCAGATGGAATTTGAAATATGGTGATTGTGAAGTCGTTAAACAACAAACTCGTTTAGATGTTAAAGAAAACAGTTTTAGACAGTTACAGCTTGGTAGCATGGAACAACATCATTCTGAAGTTCTCAATCAGAATCAAAATTTGTTTTAAAATTGGACGTCAGCTTAGTAGCAATACTCAGGTAGGCTATGGTGTTTAAACTATGCTTAGTAGGTAGTTAAGGCGCCAGAGTGTGCCAAATAAACCTTTACCACACTGCAACAACAGTAGTAGCCCAAGCGATTGACACAATGAAGATGAGATCTATCTTTTCAAGCTATTTATGCCAAATATGGATCCCACCATCAGGACGTTGCAGCTGAATTGCTGCTGAATTCACCTCATTTGATTGTTGTTCAGTCACCTGTGTCAAGGTTCAGCTTCATTTACATTCAGAGATTGTATCTTGCATACATTGTTTGTACTGTGCGGTTATTTGAGCCCCCGTTGACTTCCTGGTTATCTCCAACCACTCTGCCAATTCTCCTTTGACCTCTGACATCAACAAAGCATTGACGTCTAATTATTCTCACTTTGTCAGGAGGTGATCCCAGGAGGAACAACAGTTTCTTAAACTTATAAGCCTGTATTTTATTAGTTTTTCACCAACAACCATACCATGTTCAAAGTCTCTTAAATCCCCCCCTTTATTTCAGATCTGCGTTATGCAGTCAGCAAACATTTTTAGGATTAAACGTTACACCATACAGACCAAATGTGAGACACTCACCCCAGTGGTGCCAACAGACCAGGACCAGACACCATCTCCATACTGTCAGATTGCAAGGGCAAGGTTACATTTAACACAGCATCAGCCAGCATGTTTAAGGGATCCTTTTACAGGCATTTCCATTCAGACTGCTGTTGTTTTGTGAGGTCAAAGTGAAATTAACGATAGTTGTGACCCTATAAAGGGCTGTGTAATCAGCAAACTAAACAAGTGACAGATCAGGGGCGAGAAAGTCATTTTTTTTGCATGTATTTTTCCCCTATGGAAGATTCCTATTAACCTGGAAGTTCATGCCTGCAGATTCATGACTGACGAGACACAGAGGAAAGAGAAGTAAAAAGGAGAATCGCAGCAGCACTCTGCCTGTTGAGTATTGCTCCATTGAACTGTTGTAAAAACATGACCATAGGTCTGTCTCTGTCTCCACCTATTGGCTGCAATGGAAACAACAGAACCTTTGGTCTAAATCCTGGATTATTTTTTATTTTATTTTTTTGATGACAAAGTTGTTTTCATTGATTATTTTCTTACTTGGATAGTTGCTAACATGATGAAAAGATCTTATAACAGCTTCTACACTTCAGCTCATTCTAACACATTGCTAATATAAATCCATATACCCACACAGAAAGCCAGTCAACAAAAGAAACTACTACAGATAAGGCAAGGGGTATTTTTCTCCATCTAATAAAATTGGCACCTGCAACAGCCTTGCCATCTTTCATGGTTAGAAAAATCAGATGTCAGACACATCTCTCACAGGAAGGAGGGGGCATTTGCAGCTAAACCTGCTGACAGGGCAGGTTTTCATCTTCACCATCTGATTTGGTGTTCTTTTTTTTCCGGCCCACGGCAGAGCAAATCCCCATATAGATTCAAAACATTTCACTGCCTACTTAATCAAAAAACAAATTGTCCTGGTTCTAGTTTGAATGGAATTGTTTTTTTTCCCCCCAGCAAGCAAAGCCCCGTTGCTCCATACAGTATGATCCAAGGCTCACTGCACTTGATCAAGTGGACCAGCCCGTCTCTTTTGGGGATTACCCATCAAAGTGCAAAGTGATGGTAACTCAATGCTGCTTGCAGACACTGATTGATGATAGGACTGTTTTATAACGAATCGCACCCCCACAAAGTCTCCCACAAGTGGGAAATGTTAATTGAAATGCATTGTGTGCATAGGGTTGTGATTTTTACTGAGGTAGTGCAAAGCTAGAGTAAAGCGAAGATGTGGGATTAGTATTGGTTGTATGTTTTATGAGAAAAAGAACAACCTGATGGCAAACTGTAGACAACTTCGAAAAATAGGACTACTATTATTTTCAGGTCTTTTGTTTCCAGCAGCAGGTGAGAGTTTGGCTGCAGGGATAAAAGAAGAATCTTTATATTTTTTCCTTTTTTTTTTTACAACGAAATCTATAATCCAGTGTTGTTGTGTTTTTCATTAATAGTCATGGTAAAAAAAAAAGACAGCTGTATCAGTTTGCTGGCTGAAGATGAACAAATCAATCAGCAGGAAATCAGATTTCTGAATGAGTTTCTCTGATTTATCTGAAACTATGATATTAACCATACTTACTGCTCTACGTTTGTTGAGAGTTACATAAAGGTTTCAGAGTTGCCCCCTTACAGATTTTCAGATCTTGCCATTTTTACCCAAGTGTTTTAGATCATCAGACAAATTTTATGATCAGGCCAAAGTATTTCTAATAATCTAACAGATTATTTCAATCCTCAAGAATGCAAAGCCAATCAAAAGCAACCTGCTCTTATGTGAAGAAGTAAATCCCCCCCCGACCCCCCCCCCCCCCAAAAAAATTTTTTTAGGTTGTTAGATTTCACTCACAAGGTTAACCAGCGGCGGTAACAACAGTCATCAGGCATAAATTGGCCATATTTAAGGTAATATGAGAGATTATTGCTAAATTCATTGAATCACCACAAACGTATTTGTTTTAGGTATAGATAATGATCCATTGATCATTCCTTGCTGACCAGACTTCTCCTTTAAATCTGCACTTTGATTTGACAAATACAGCTTATTAACTTTTTATTTATTTTTTTTAGCTTCTCAAAGGAGGATGTGTTTTTGCGCCTCGGCTGAACTTTATGTTGAGCAGAAGATCCTCCTTTGGTCAACAGTGACCCTGGTACTCTCCAATCAGTGTATTCTCATTATTAGTTTGTATGAAATCGTACAAAATTCAAATTATGCACCGTAATTTCGTACGTTTTAGTCGCATTTCGTCGTATTTTTATGTCTTGCCTCGAGACAAGATATCCTTGCGCATGCGCATCTTACGCACCATTAAATAACATAGAATTTAACATACAATTAACCCTAACCCTGACCCTAACCCTAAGATACAAAACAGCAAGCAACCTAGTTAGAGACCTGAAGAAGTGATTATTGCACTGTTTTTCCCAGTTTTACATCCGTCCGCGGATCTGCTTTTTTCGTCTGTCTGCCTGCGCATGCGCACTGATCTGTATTTTTGGGGAAAAACGTCCAAAACGTACGAAATACTGTGCATAACTTTTCGTACGATTTCATACGAACTGATAATGAGAATATGTTGCTCCAATGGAGGCCATTTCCAGTCCAGTTCATCTCTCATGCAGTTGAATAATGACCTCTGACCTTAACTGAGACAAATGAAATTGGCCTAGCTGTTGATGTTGTTCTGAGTTCTTTTTTTACTTCCTGAATGAATTCCTGATAAGTCTATAAAATAAATTTGGTCAACCGGCCAATCCTGGGAAGGTTTGCCTTGGTTCTGTGTTTATCTATCTTTTTTTAGATTGCAATTGTTCTTGCTGTGGTTTCATTGAGTCTCAAACATGTCAAACATGAGTTTGTCACCCTTTCCAAACTGATTTATGATGATGATAATTTTCTGGGTTTGTTAAATTTGGAAAAGCCCTGCGAGCTTGCTTCATGCAGCCAGACAGGTATCCTTAAGAGATTCTTTGGTTTTTCTAGAAAAAAAAGACAAAATTACATTTCATTTTTGTGATTCAGCAGTTTTCCAACAGAGGTCTCTATCCAAACCAGAGATGTTCACAAGTCATGTTATTCCAGGTCCAAATTGAATCTCAAGTCATTCATGGATTGAAATGATCTAAAGTCATTTAATTGACATTCATGTGGTAAGTGGTGTAAAGCTAAAGCTATAATAATAGATGGTTATATTATTATTGAAACTATTACAGTGAATTATGCAGCCGCCGCAGTTTAGAGCTCTCATACTTTCACTCTCTCATTCCTGCTTAAAAAAGTCGAAATTAGGACTTTATATCTCATAATTGTGACTTTAAAAGTTGGAATTATGTATTTGTATCTCATAATTATGACTTTGAAATTCAAAATTATGACTTTGTGTCTCATAATTATGAGTTCTTATATCCTAAGTCTGACTTTGTATCTCAAAATTCTGACTTTATAATTCAAAATGATGTCTTTGAATCTCATAAATATGACTTTAAATTTGGTATTTTTTCATTTGGAGTAAACAGGCCATTAATAACCTAGCAGATGAAGGCAGAAGAAATAACATGACCATGGAAAACATGTTGGTGTAAACACTGAAGCACAGATAGATAGATAGATAGATAGATAGATAGATAGATAGATAGATAGATAGATAGATAGATAGATAGATAGATAGATAGATAGATAGATAGATAGATAGATAGATAGATAGATAGATAGATAGATAGATAGATAGATAGATAGATAGATAGATAGATAGATAGTCTTATTTGATCAGACTCATCCCTGACTGACTCACTCTAGCAGCTTGAACGCCTCACTCCCTGCTGCAACATAAGCGCTCCTGTGCTCCAGCTGATCCAGGCTCTGCACTCTGTGGCCCTGCGTGGGGGTATAAAGCCTCCTGACAGCGCCGAACGGATGTTTGCTTAAGGTGTTCAGAAAGTTGTGGAAAGTTGTCGGGGATTCAGCACTATTTTTCTCCCGGGAAAGAAAGCATCACCGTTCTTATAAACGGTGATTGTTTTAGTGGGAGGCAGAAGCGCTGTTCTCCCTGATTCCACCGGCATGTTGGATTTAAAGCCTTTAAATCTGAACTAAATAAAACTGGAGGGAGAAATCTGAGTGGATTTTACAGCAAATTTCGAAATTCATCCACAGGACAGACGAGGAGGCGTTGTGTTGCGTTTCCCCCGTTGCTGTTAAAAGCAGATTCTCTATAATAGAACGGTTTTCATGGCAACAAGAATGCACGTTGTTATTTTCTTTTGTTTGACAGGCCTACTCCTTTCACATTGTTTGCTATTTCACCGTCATTTGTTCCAACAGGCTTCTCTTTTATTTTTGGTCAGTTTTAGTTTGAAATTAAATCTGATTGGTTCTATATTGTGTCGTTGTTACCATGTGATGAAAAACGGTTGGTCCCTCAGTTCAGCCAAAATAACACCAACTAAAACAAAGCACACTCAGTAAAATCATATTCATATCCTGATTTTTTTATTACTATTTTTCTGGAAATGTATTTTTTCTCCATCAGATGTGACGTCACTTTTTGCCCTGCTACTGTAGTGCAGGTCGGATTGAAGACGATCTACATTTCCACTCATCCAATTTAGTTAAAAAACATTTCTAAATAACATATATGTTTCAAAATTTGCAACAAAATAATAATAATAATTTCATTTAACTTTTTAACTTTTTAAAATACTAAATAGTAAGAAAAAAAACATGATTTAAGAAATGTTTAGTCCATAAATCTTGATTTGGTTTAAAATTGGTTCCGACGTTTAAAATAACGAAATATTCTGTCACCACCTGTAGGGGGTGCTGTTTCTGCAGTACGGCTCGAAAATCTTGATTTCGTAGGAAAACAAGAATAACTCAACAGAACATGTAAAAGAAGCATAGATCTAAAATTTATCCCTAGATTTTTTTTTTTTTTTTTTCACAATGCAATTTTTGATATTTTATTGGGAGCCTAGCATAAAAAAACGTCTCTTTTGGTCCCTATGTCAGTGGTTGAATAACCTGAAGAAGTGCAGGTGGGAGGTTAAATTAACTGTAAACAGGTGAAATTGTGTTTTTAGTAAAATAGTTTTTATATGATATAAAATAAATGTCAAATATATCATATTTTTGATATGAAATGAAAATAAGTCAATCTTCTGCTCATCTGATGTTTATCAGTCTATCTAATTCTATGTCTTTTTGTCTTTTTTTCCTTTATATTCCTACTTTTATTTTTGTTCATCCAACCAAGATTCCTATTGTCTATTCATTCACAGTTCCTTACAGCTCCCAAAACATCTTTTTTCTACAAAGGTAACCAGAGATTGAACCAACCATGACACTTAATTGGTTTATGCTAGACAACTCCTGGTCATGTGGCTGCATAATTCATCTCAGCATTAATTATTCATTTCTTAAGGGACTGGTGGTGCCTTTATTTGAAGAAGTGCATCATGCATATTCAAACTCCTGTTCCTGGAGAGCCACAAATTAGGATATCATCTCAGCTGGGATACATATCTTAAAAACAATAGCTGCCAAGTCTGAAAAAATGCTTGAGGTAAACAAAAAAGGGCCTGAAATGTAATCTGCAGTAAGATTTTTGTTATTCAGAAATATGTTTGTGTCACTGTAAGAAAAATGGCCTTCCAAACATCCTTGTTTTTGCTTTTTCTCCTAAACTGCTGGCTTTTGACAGCAAAGCAGTCACATTAACCACTTTTGTGGTTAATGTGACCCATAAAAAATGCTCACAGCATGGTTAGCTCCAGCAAAAATAATACTTTCACAGGTAATTCTAGTAGAGATAAAGGTCAAGGCCTAATTGCTTTTATCTTAATTGCTTAAAAAACAAAGATTTATGTTGCTAATATATACATATTATTTATATTAGCATGTATAACAATTCGTATATATTATGTTATACTATATATATATATATATATATATATAGTCATAGTAGCTTTGCTAAATTATCTTGTTCCATTTTCAAAATGTCTCTTTTATCTCCTTAATCCAAGAGCAAATGGAAGACTCTAGAACCACCACTGTTCCCAACAACCTCAATCAGTTCTTCCATTCATGCTGATTTAATCTGACTTAGTCAGTTATATAATATAACCTGCTGCTGTCATTTTGCTACTTTTAAATATCTATTACTGTTAAAATGGTTATTTACACACTGAGACTGGTTCTGCTGGAAGTTTCTTGCTGGTAAAAGGGAGTTTTTTCCTCTCCACTATCGCTACAAGCATGCTTAGTGTGAGGGATTGCTGAACAGTCAATGAGTCGATGCAATCAACTGGTTTTTCCTTAGATAGAAAACTTTGAATCAATTTGACTGGATGATCTTGTTGAACTGTGAAGTGCCTTGAGATTACATGTTTTGTGAATTGGCACGATATAAACAAACTGAATTGAATTGAATATATATATAAATCTCTATCTCTCCAGAATCAGCGCAGCAGTCCAGTCCAAATTGCCTTTCCCACCTTGGATAGTAAACACCCTGAATAATGATCCTACTGCATTAAAAAAAAGCTGTCGTATGTGGATTAGGGGTGGGTATTGCCAAAGAAGTCACGATTCGATTCAAATCACGATTCACAGGCCACGATGCGATTCTTTCACGATGCATCACGATACTTGAATTATTGCGATGCATTGCAATATTTTCTCCTCAATGTTTTGTTTTTGAATGACTCGGCGCAGTATCCCGCGGCCGAAAATGCTTGTGACACAAGGCGGCGTGCGTCAACACATTTGCAGCGACATCTACTGGGGGTAGTGGGGGTCTGGCTCAAAAGTCATACCCCTAATATGAGTGCTACACCATGCACTATAGGATGTGAATGGGAATGTCCTTAATTCCTCAGAGCACCGCACTTGTGAAGTCTGAGGAGACCATTAAAGGGGAAGCTATACTTTGCAGTCAATGAGCATAATGTCATCGCTTTATCTGAGCTTTAAAGAGAGAGACCTCCATTTATTCTGCAGAATTTATAGCGTGTTATATGACTTTATGTTACCCTGAGATAAAAATGTGACAGATATTGCTCAGTAATCTGTGATCTCAGATAACAAGATGCTAGTTTATCAGACCAAGTTAATCCTTCTTATGGATTGCAGAAACTGAGCGCACAGTTGAGTAAAGCATGTGCACAGATTTCTGCTAGCTTTGTTTTGTTCACCGGCAGAAACTTTCGGGGTTTATTAATATTACAAGCTATCAGAGATGGGAAGTAACGAAGTACAAATACTTCGTTACTGTACTCAAGTAGATTTTTCTGATATTTTTACTTTACTTTACTACTTATTTTTATGGTGACTTTTTACTTCTACTCCTTACATTTTACACAAATATCTGTACTTTCTACTCCTTACATTTTAAAAAATTGGCTCGTTACTTTAGTTTTGAATCATTTCAATGGAGTTACCGTTATTATTTTTCACGTCATCAATACCAAATTCCATCTAATTGGATGGGAATCTACGTTGCATTTGACGCACCACTACAAGATGAATCGACAGATTCGGCGGTATTCATTGGCGGCAAATCATTGCAGCTTGGTGGCGGTGGCGTTAGCATAGTAGCATGGACGACGAGATGATTGAAAATGAACACAACGGACATCTAGTCCTATTGGCAGACATCCATTTAAAATGTAGGCAACGGCATGAAAAAAGTGGTTTCTACTTTTACTTTTATACTTCAAGTAAATTTACAAGCCTGTACTTTGTTACTTTTACTTGAGTAAAGAAGTTTAATCAGTACTTCCACTTTTACCAGAGTATTTTTTAACACAAGTATCTGTACTTTTACTCAAGTACGGAAAGTGAGTACTTTTGCCATCTCTGCAAGCTATGAAGGGTACCAAACAAAACAAGCAGCACTTTAAATTTACATTTGACAGCTTATCTTGCAGGTGTGGGCCATGCATCCAAACTGTAAACAGATATCCTTGGGCAATCTGCACTCACTAAAACAGATTATCAAACCATGCTTACTGATTGCAGAAACTGAGACTGGAAGTTGTATTACACTTGTTTTTGGCTGATGTTCGCCAACCATTCATGCAATCTTATTTATTAATTTTTTAAAATTAATAATCGATACTTGGCGTCAAGAATCGATGCAGTAGATCACGAAAATTAGAATCACGATGCATCATCATGACGATTATTTTGCACACCCCTAATGTGGATGCACTGTACTGTATATACTGTATATATCCCATGCACCATTTTCTTCCTTTGGTGCATTCTTCCCCTTTAACTATTTGAGCTAAATCAATAGGTATCCATAAATAAAGTAAATCAATCAGTCAAGCCTTTTTCCATGTATTTGCCTTCTCAGATATTTTTTTTTTTATCTGGGCTCTAAATATTATGTTGGTGCAAAAATGTTGACAAGCAAAAGACAAAACCAAAGACTTTTGCAGTTAGTTTGACATCAGACATTTGACCCTATCAACACAGATGCATTTTTTTATTGCAGCCTTTCATTTTATGCATAAACACATTTTACTGCATTCTTTAATTCTGTTATTTTGTTTTATTATTTTTTTAGGTGTTACATTTTTCACTTGAATTAACACGTACGGTATTTTGATAGTTGATTTCATTGCAGAGACTGACAGAGGTGCAGGACTATATGGGATGGCGGGCAACAAAGCTAACTAAAGGTGAAGCACTCTGGAACAGTACGTACCTTAGCTCTGTGTTTGAGCTCAGGGAACCTGTCACTGCAGCTTTAGCAGGTCTACAAACTGACATTACCTCTCTTTTATCACAACATTATGACATTATTGCTGATTTTCTCAGAGGGCTGTCTCCATTCCATTATGCCACAATTTAGTGGTCAGAGGAGAAGTGGGGGTCTGGCTCAAAAGTCATACCCCTAATATGAGTGCTACACCATGCACTATAGGATGTGAATGGGAATGTCCTTAATTCCTCAGAGCACCGCACTTGTGAAGTCTGAGGAGACCATTAAAGGGGAAGCTATACTTTGCAGTCAATGAGCATAATGTCATCGCTTTATCTGAGCTTTAAAGAGAGA